TTGGTGTTGTTCTCGGAGTTTTTGTCAGTTGGCAATTGACTTTAATCATACTCTTCTATATTGTCTCTTTATTTGTTATTACTGTCATGCAAATACGTTGGCAAGCACGATTGAACAAACGTTCTGGTGATATTCTTGAATCAGCAAGTTCGGTAAGACCAACATTTCGATTACAATATCATGTACATTGAAATATTGGTAGTGAATCTGCTTTTACTAATAGCTCGCTGTCGAGATCATTCACAACATGCGCACAGTGAAGCAGTTGGCAAGCGAGGCAGAATTTTTACGTCAATTCTCACATTTAGTTCTCAAAGAGTTCAAGTCAGTCTTTTAATCGCTTTTTTCCTTAATTTCTATGCATTATTTTCGCATAGAATTCGTCGAAATGATATGATAATATCCTCGTTACTACACAGTATCCAGTGGGGATTGGGACCATTTGTCTTGTTGTTTCTTTCTTGGCAGGCTTTAATACTTGTTGAACACAAAGAACTGAAGATGAACAACATCCCTATGTACCAAAATAGAAATCTTTAAGATTTCTTTTACCTATATATTTTTCTAGCGTGTTTGCCTATTGTACTTTCTCTATAGAAGCTCGACGATGCACCATGATCTTGTAAGCCATTGCACCGATTGATTTCTTTTCCTCAAGTGCTTTTATTCAGAACGCGACAGATGAGTGACTCATTATCAGCAGCTCGAAATTTCTTCAATTTGTTCGATCGAATATCAGCTATTAACAATTGTTCAATGGATGGTCAACAATTGGTAAGTGATTCATTTAGTAAAAGTCTGAGTTTTAAACAGATTACTCTGATCTCATTGTTGAAATGTATTTATAATAGAGTGATTTCAAAGGTCAGATCGAATTTGATCAGATCAAATTTGCGTATCCATCTCGACCGACATCCTGTATTTTGAATAAATTTCAATTGATCATCAAACCTGGTGAGTTTTTCCTATGTATTTTCAATTTAGTTTATGATGAAATTTATCTATTTGTCAATTAGGTCAGCGTGTGGCCCTTATAGGTATGTCGAAGTCATTTGTTGTTCATTCAAAGTACTTATATAATCTACTTATAAAGGTGCATCTGGTTGTGGTAAATCGACAATCATTCAGCTCTTGGAACGATTTTACGATCCCATACAAGGTCGAATCGTAAGCATTTCTCTTTT